AAAGCGATTCTTCTGCCTCAGCCTCCTGAGTAGCTGGGATTACAGGCACGCACCACCACACCTGGCTAATTTTTGTATTTTTAGTAGAGACGGTGTTTCACCATGTTGGCCAAGATGGTCTCCATCTCCTGACCTCGTGATCCACCCACTTCAGCTTCCCAGAGTGCTGAGATTACAGGCGTGAGCCACTGTGCCTGGCCAAAGTTGGGGCTTTTTTCCAAAGAAGATCAAGCTGGGCACAGTGGAGGCTGAAGCTGAAATGGGAGGATCACCTGAGCCCAGGAGAGTTCGAGTCCAGTTTGAGCAACATAGCAAGACTCCTCCATCTTAATCAATCAACAAATAAATGCCATTTTTTAAAAAAGGAACATCAACATTGGAGTTTTTGTTGTTGTCTTTATGTAGTAATCAAGTATGCTTAACGTTGCACCGAGCAAATGAAAAAAAATTTTTTTTTTTGAGACAGAGTCTCACTGTGTCACCCAGGCTGGAGTGCAGCGGCGTGATCTCAGCTCACTGCAACCTCAGTCTGTCAGGCTCAAGTGATTCTCCTGTCTCAGCCTCCTGAGTAGCTGGGATTACAGGTGCCTGCCACCATGCCCAGCTATTTTTATATTTTTTTAGTAGAGATGGGGTTTCACATCACTTCTCGGCTGTTTGGCTAAGATCAAGTGAGATGGGGTTTCACCATGTTGGGCAGGCTGGTCTTGAATTCTTGATCTCAGGTGATCCACCCACCTTGGCCTCCCAAAGTGTTGGGATTACAGGTGTCAGCCACCATGCCTGGCGAATGTCTTAAAAAGACACAATTTTATGGTTTTATAAGGAGTAAAATTTTTTTAAGTCTAAAAAATTAAAAATAAAAGACAGTTTTATATTAGGAAAGCAAATCAGAGAACTTTATATAGCTACATAGAAATGTAGTATAGAGAATAAATGCAGCATGTTTCTCTTTTCTTTTCCCCACAGGTTATTTGATAATAATAGTGATGGCTAACATTTGAACATCTAATTTTTGCCAGGGCTGATCTAAGCTTTTCATCTGTGTTATCTCTTTCTGTCCTCACATCATAATGTGGAAGGTCTTCATCCAACTGGTGAAGAACATGAGGCACAGAGAGTTTAAATAAAGACTGCACAGCCTGTAAGGGATCAGGATTGGAACCCGGCAGTCTGGCTCCAGAGCCTGAGCCACTCTGCCATTTTTTCTAGTCAGGTCAGGTGTACTCAGGAACTCTGCCCACATCCTGTTTGTGAGTCCACTGTGTAGATCTTCAAGTGCGATTTCTGAAATATTGATAGATATCTAAAAGTGGAATGAGGCCAGTGCAGTGGCTCATGCCTATAGTCCCAGCTGCTCAGGAGGCCAAGGCCGGTGGATCTCTTGAGCCTAGAAGTTGAAGACCAGCTTGGGCAACATAGCAAGACCCTCATCTCTACAAAATATAGAATTAAAAAAATAGCCAGGCATGGTGGTGCACGCCACTAGTCCCAGTTACTTAGGAGGCTGAGGTGGGAGGATCGTTTGAGCCCAAGAGGCGAAGGCTTCAATAAGCTATGATCACTGCAGCCTCAGCAACAGAGCAAGGACCTGTCTCAATAAATAAATAAAAGTAGAACGAGTGGCAGTGATATGTTCTCTTGGAGTGCCTTATCAGAGTTCGTATTCCATGTGTAATTCCATCTGCTGAGCTGACCTCTGGGTTTTGCCATTACCGCACAACAGGCTTGTTTAGGGGAAGGCCCAGAGATTGAAGATTGACATGTAGCTTGAGTTCTAAACAGCTGACTTCCACTCTCTAGCAAAAGATCTTGGGTGTCAGCACCTGAGTGTTAGGTTACAGAGGAGTGAGAAAGAGAACAACCTTTTAAAGCCATCCAGCAGCATGCAGCAAGAGCGGCTCCTCTTTGCAGAGAGAATGAATGTGGGCAGTGAAATACACTAAAATTAATTGTTATATTAAGGTATAAATGCCATAGACTTCCTGGCTTCTGGAATTTCCTGTCATTTCTGAAAGAGCAGACTAAAAAGTGTATTATTTGAGCTTTACACCACAGATCTACCTCTTAGGATAATCCATCAACGCCAATTTTTTCCCCCTAGAGCTAGGGTCTCATTCTGTCACCTAGGCTGGAGTGCAGTGGTGTGATCATAGCTCACTGAAGCCTCAAACTCTTGGGTTTGAATGATCTGCTTGCTTCAGTCTCCTGAGTAGCTGGGACTGCAGGTGCATGCCACTACACTGGGCCAATTAGGAAATTTTTTTTGTAGAGACAGGGTCTTCGTTTATTGCCCAGACTGATCTCAATCTCCTGGTGTCAAGCAGTCTCCCTGCCTCGGCATTCCAAAGTGTTGGGATTACAGGCGTGAGCCACCAAGCCCAGCCCAAAGCCAAATTTA